CTCATATACAGATTAAAGCTATATTATATAACTTTTCTTAAATAAATCTATATCTGTCACCAATCAGGCTATGAGGTTATTGCTTGGATTTGAATCCAAGCATCCAATAAAAAGAAGGATCTTAAAGAAACCGATAATATTCAGATGATTAGCGTGATTTCCACAGTTGTGGTCTTGACCGGTCTTGAAATAAAATGCCGAGTCCTCAGCGCCCGGGACCGAGACCAAATGCGGTCAAGTCCGAGACGAGACCGATCTCGAGTACTACAGCACTGGTGCCAGTAGGTTCTAAACACGCGTTCTATGCGTGTTTAACAGCTTCTACAGATGGGTTCAAACTGGTTCTAAACATGTTCTAAATAATTAATATTAATTTAAATATTGATTTCACATTAGAGAAATTCACTCTCTACATTTAACCCGTCCTCTTGGGGAACAGTGGGCTGCCATTGTGCCGCGCCCGGAGAGCAGCGTGGGGTTAAAGTCGTATGGAAATTATATTTAAATGTAAAATCATTCTAGCTTAAACATGTATATAAATGTTCTCTTTATCAGATGATATTGTTCTAAATTTAGAAAATTTCTATTTAAAAAAAAATCCCGTCTTAAAATCTGTGTTTTTATCCGTTATCTTCTGCAGGCCAGTTAGTTCTACGTCAGCCTGAACACCTAAATTCAGCCAATCATACATCAACGGTCATCTGTCAATCAAATTTTTTAAGTCATAGCATCTTTTTTTTTTTTTTTTTTTTTTTAGAACTTATACTTTTATTATTTTTTTACAGAGCAATTGTAAAGCCACACACCAATAGTAGATAACACAAAAGTTGACAATATACAGTTTTCCATAAAATGAACATCTTAGCTCTATATCTTATGATCTCAGCCTCACATTTGTAGGCTCATCATCCTGAAACCCTAAAATAAGGATACACTTTGGGCGGAATAGCTAAACACCAGATGCCAAGAACAAACTTGTTGGGCTTATTTACATCAGCATAGCTTCTCCTGCTCCCAGCACAGGCTAAAGGTGGTTTTTTGAAGTATTAATGAGTAGGTTATCTTTTCCATTTTGTACAATTTTCTTACTTTTTGTACCCATAAGTCATAGGAAGGAGGCTCCAACTGCATCCACCTGATTGTAATGCATTTCAGGGCTGCTGTAAAAAGAACATTCAACAGATAAGTTTTGGCCCCCTTCCTTGCAAACTCTCCGGTATAATACCAAGTAACGCAACAATAACATCCCTCGGTATAACCTCTGTGAAGATCTGGTTCATAGTCCTGTACACCTCATCCCAAAAGTTTTGTAGTTTGGGACATAACCAAAAAATGTGTGTATGATTGGGGACCGCTGGGCCACAGTTTCTCCAACACAAGCTTGGTACTCTAGGATCCATCTTGGCAACAACATCTGGGGTCCTGAAATATGGTCATAGCATCTTGATTCATGTGTCGCAGCTAAAATACGCAACGGTTGAAA